GACCCGAGGAGCCTGGGCCGCGCGGAGCCCCCGAAGTTGGGGAGCGGGGTTCGGGGCCGCGCGGCAGCAAGCAGGGGAGCCGGGCGTTCCCGGGTTAGTTTGGTAACGTGGAATGACGTGTCTTTAGAGCACGTCGTGTTCTCCCCCTCCCGTTTCCGCAGAAAACGAGGAACGCCCGGCCCGGCCCGACGGTTGGACGGAGGCCTGCGGTGGTCATTCCCTCGCGTTAGCCTGAGCACTGGCGGTGACCTCAGTGCGGGGGCCCAGGTATGTCGGGAGTGGGGACGGTGCCCTGAGGCAGACGGTCTGGGAAAAGGCTTCTGTGTGGTTGCCCCTGCCCTGCTGTGGGTGCAGCCCTGTACCAGGCAGCCCGACCTCGACCTAGAGTAAGCCCCCGGGCCAGCGCCGGGTGTTGAACTTGCAGTAACAGGTGTGAACATTCTAGCAGCCGTTTGATGGTCATGTATGATACTGCAAACAGGCCCTCTGCTGAGAGGAGTGGTTCCCACGACCCCGGACGGCGTCACCGTCGTTTAACGTGTTCCGTCCTTTGTTTCCTGGTACTCAAGCCCGGCACCGTGCGAGGTGCTAGGGACACAGAAATGAACAAAGCTGCCATGGCCCTTGTCCACAGGGAGTGATGGCCCAATTGGGGAGACAAGGTTAAATTCGTCATGCTTGGGGCCAGCAAGTGGCGTGGTGATTAAAGTCGTAGACTCCCACATGGCCAACTGTGGTTCGAGTCCCGGATCTGGTAGCTTGCGTTCTCACTCTCCCACCCTCCGTCTCTCTCTGGTCAACCCACATGCTCAATAGCAAAATTGAAAATATTAATACTAAGTAAAAATAAATAAATAAAGCTTATTGAAAGATTAAAAAATAAAAAATTTGTGGCACTTAAAGAGGGTGTAATTGAAGTTGAGACTCTGCAGGAAAGCACAGTCCTGTGAGAAGACTTATCACAAGGAACCTGGTGGAGGACCTGGGGCTGGATGCGGGATGAGTAGGAGTTGGCCAGGGCAGCATGGCCTGGGGGCAGCGTGTGCGAAGGCCACCGCAGCCCAGGAAGCAAGGCGGAGGGTGTGGGGTGAAGTCTGGGCGGGGGGCTCATGTGAGGATTTTGGTCTCTGTTCTCAGAATAGTAGCATAGCCTTAGGGGTTTCAAATTAGAGCAGAAATCTGAGTTTCAAAAGGTGACTGTGCACAGAACAGTGCTGTCCCACAGAATGTCCACACTGGAGGAGATGCCCGTGTCTATGCCGGCCAGGGCAGCCGCTAGCCACGCCGGCTGGTGCAGCTGAGGTCCAGGCCCTTTCACTCTCCCTATAATAGAAGTGGCCACGTGTGGCCACAGTGCTGGCCAGCGGAGGCCTGGACCATCTCGGAGGGAGTGGAGACACTGGGAATCAGGGCAGGCACATGCGCTTCACCTCTCCTCCCCACCCCGCTCAGATAATGGAAAGGGATCCCACTTTGGGGAGAATCCTTGGGTTGGTTCTCCAATGTCCAGTGTAGACAGTGGCGCTGTTTGTCTCCTTGGCTGTCCGTTAGCTTGCTCCAGGAACCAGCTTGCATCTCTGCCTTTGCCTGTTTGGTGTCAGCGCACACACTGAGAAGTGACATCGCCGACACACTTACGTACACAGGGTGCTCAGAGAATCATGTCCTGTGCCTTGGAGCAGGTGTGGAAAAGTGTGGTCCTGGGGCCAGCAGGTAGTGTGGTGGTTGAGGCGTTGTACTCCCACACCCACACGGCTGACCGCGGTTTGTACACATACACGCATGCACAGGTGCCCAGAATCCTGGTGGAGAAGGGATTGCAGCATGGTCATCCCCCCGGGGAGTGATTTCTCACTCTCCTTCTCTGGTGAGCACACATGCCCTATAGGAAAAAAGTTTAAAAAAAAAAATCAAGACTTGGTACAGCTGAGTGAAAACTGACACGTGTCCCTTTCTTACAGGTCCCTTTACCGGAAGATCCGTGCGTGCGGATGGAAACCCGACATCCTCTGCGGGTTCTGCGTGCCTGCAGTGCCGTTGTTTGGGCTTAGGGCCTTCCAGGTTTGCTTAGTTCAGTCCTCGTTGTGTACTTTTTGAATGTTGACCTTTTGAATGTTAAGACCCAGATTCACGTGGATTCAAATAAATGGAGCCAGACCCCGGGGGGACTCCATACTCTTGTTGGGTTCCGTGTCCAGTGACTGTCGGAGCCCCTGAGTGCGAGCCTTTGCTCCCGAGACACACGTTGACAGTGCTGTGTCAGCTGCTTGGGAGTGGCCTGAGCGCTGGGGTGCCATTCGTCCATCGTAGGGAAGTGCCCGTCTTCGTGGTCTCCTGAAACCAGGGCTGGCTCCTGTGGCTCAGGGTGGTAACTGTTCAGAGAGTGAGCGCTTCATTCTGCATCAAATTCTGCCAGAAAGGGACCAGCAGTTAGCGTAATGGCTATGTCGCTGGACTCCCACATAGTCGACCGCGGTTTGAGTCCCGTACCCGGTGGCTTAAAGTCACGCCGGGCGCGTGTGCGTGCGTGCCCAGGATCCCGAGAGGAGAATGGAGGAGAAGGGATTGCGGCGTGGCCATCCCCCCTGGGGGGTGATTTCCTGCTTTCTATCTCTCTGTCTCTCTCTATCTGTCTGGCGAGCGCACGCGCCCTATAGCAAAAAACCTCTCAAAAAAAAAAAAAAATTCTGCCAGAAAAACACTGGCCTCGGCACTGTCGAGGAGTGCTCCATCCTGGCTCTGCAGCTGCCTCAAGGTACCTGTGACACTGAGGGTGCTGCCAGCCCCTGGCAGGGAGAAGCAGCTATCCTGGGGGCCTGGGGTTGTGGCTGCCAGGTGGTCACACAGCCTTTGGGCTGCCATCACACCCTGTCCGCAGCTTAGTCTCACTCCATCCCAATCCTGGGGTTCTCAGAACAGGCCCACCAGCACCGCCCCAGTTGCACACACATCCAAGGGGACATTGTAGTCACAGAGCTTGGGGACACCCTGGTGTCAGAATAGTTCACCATCTGTCTAGTGACCAAAGCACACGTACCTCCACAGCCTGCGTTGAATCTTTGCCACTGTGTATGGCTCTCCATGTGGCACAGGCCCTGCACGGTGTAGTCCAGCTGGGTCAGACCCTCGGACACTGCCTGTCCTCCCCGGGCTGGTTTTTCTGGATGTGCTCATTGAACCTCTTGGCCTGATGTCCTCTTGCCCAGGCCTCATCTTGTCCAGCTCAGTCCCAGAGGATGTGGCCCAGCTAGTGTCTGTCCACAGCCATCAGTGCACCTGAGGGAGCCTTGGTGGACTTGTGGTGCTTGACCTATCATCTAAAAGTCAAGGCCACAGAGGGGAGCCTGGCCCTGGGGAGGTGTGCACAGCACAGGAGCGCACCAGTGACCAAAGCTGCAGAGGGGAGCCTGGGTCTGGGGAAGTGTGTGCAGCACAGGAGCGCCCCAGTGACCAGAGCTGCAGAGGGGAGCCTGGGTCTGGGGAAGTGTGTGCAGCACAGGAGCGCCCCAGTGACCAGAGCTGCAGAGGGGAGCCTGGGTCTGGGGAAGTGTGTGCAGCACAGGAGCGCCCCAGTGACCAGAGCTGCAGAGGGGAGCCTGACCCTGGGGAGGTGTGCGCAGCACAGGAGCGCCCCAGTGACCAGAGCTGCAGAGGGGAGCCTGGGCCTGGGAGGTGTCTGGAGCACACCACCGCTTGGCATCAGTGACCAGAGGATGCCGCCTTGGCAGTGAGGCCGAAGCAGCTGCATTTCCACATGGGGCTTCAGGTCCCAGCTCCACAGCCTGCGTGGTGACTCAGGCAGGTCACTTCTTGCTTGTAATTCACCTGCTGCTGCACTAAGTGAGCACAGAGACTCCCACCAGGCTGGTGCTTGTGAGGGTCCCAGGAGCCAGTCCTGGACTGCTCGGAGGGGCCTGGGGCGCCTTAGCCTTGTTCACCTGGGTTCCCGATCAGCATCTCCGTCCTAGCTCATCCATTGGCTTCTAGGTGAGTTGTGATGGGCATGCTATGTGCAGAATAAGAGCAGCACGTACTGACATTTCTGGAATAAACCGTTCTGGTGCGCAGTGGCTGGCTCGTTCTTACTGTAGGTGAATGTGAGCCTCCTTGCAGGACTGTGGGCAGTGTCCTGTCTGCTTCAGGGTAGACGTCTGTCTGGCAGCTATGGCCTTGTCTGCTGGGCTCTGTGAAGACCTGGGTCAGCCTGGTTTGGCAGTTCAGGTCCTAGGCCCACTGAGTAGTGTCTCACCTAGAGCTTGGAGAAAGCCCTGAAGGCAATTTGCATGATCTAGCTGGTTCTGGCTTGCAAGTCCTTTCCCAGTTGTTCCTAGGAACAAGCTTTCTTGACCCTGGGAGGTCCCTTTGGTTGGTCTGGGACTTCCTAGGACCAAACAGCTGGCCAAGAACAGGAGAATCAGGATGAGATGAGGGTGATCGTGCATCCATGGCAGAGCGGAGCCCAGTGAGATAGAACTCCGGAGCCTCCACCACCCCTGGAGACTCGTCATAGTGTTCCTGTCCTGCCTGGTTCTGCCGAAGCACTGCCCCGGGGGGCTTCTTCCCACTGAACCTCCTTCCCTTTCTCTGGCTGTATGGCGAGACCACTCGGGCAGGCTTCCAGCAGGTGGCTGGAAGGAAGCAGTGTACTGCCTGCCTTCATGGGTGACGGGAGGGGAGCTGAGGATCCAGAGAGGAGTTCTTTGGCCTGACTGCCCAGAACGTCCCCAGTGGTCACCTCCTCAGCTCTTTGTTCCAGCACTCTCACTGAGTGGCCTCTACTGGCCTATCCGAATGTCTTCCCTGTAGAACACCATATACGTGTTCGTGTGGCCACGGGGTCAGGACAGCGCTGATGGTTCCTGTTCCTCTAGGTAGAAGCTGGCTGAAGAGGGCAAGAATCCTGCATCTAAAGGAGGTGGTACCTTCAGCAGTGGCAATAGTGAAATCTGTGTTTAAGACTGCTTTTCTTGGGCCAGCAGGTGGCATGGTGGTGAAGGTCTGGACTCCCATGTGGCTGATCGTGGTTTGAGTCCCGAACCTGGCAGCTTGCTTTCTCACTCTTTCTCCTCTGTCTAGTGAGTGAGTGTGCCCTGTAGCAAATTAAAAAGAGTAATAATAAGTGAAATTAAATAAATTATTTTTTAAAAACGGTTTTCTTGGGACCGGCAGATGGTGTAATGGCTATGTTGCTGGACTCCCACGTAGTCGACCACGGTTGGAGTCCCAGACCCGGTGGCTGAAACTCACGCCGGCCCTGCGTGTGTGCGTGCCCAAGATCCTGAGAGGAGAATGGAGGAGAAGGGATTGTGGCATGGCCATTCCCCCTTGGGGGTGATTTCTTGCTTTCTGTCTGGTGAGGGCATGCACCCTATAGCAAAAACCTCTCCAAAAATAAATAAATAAAATGCTTTTCTTAATGTCAAAAATTGATTTTTCTGGAATCAAGTCTACTGAAAGCTGAAATTCTCTCCTAGGTCACAAGG